TTCCTCCTCCTGCACCTTCTCCTCCTGCACCACCTCCTCCTCCTGCACCTTCTCCTCCTGCACCTCCTCCTGCACCTCCCCATACTCCCCATTCCGGGGCTGACCAGCAGCAGTGGAGGACAGGTCAAGGAGAATCAGGACAGCACGCTCGCTGTTTCTCTCGCAGGCCATGGGGACGTGCTAGCTGTAATGGACGGGCACGGCGCTGCTGGAGCTCTGGTGAGCCAGTTCGTGGCGGAGACCCTCAAGGTGAGTAGAGGAGGAGGAGAAGGAGGAGCAGTGGATAGTGAGGACGAGGACGAGGACGAGGAGGACGAGGACGAGGACGAGGAGGACGAGGGAGTAGGATGGAGCAGGAGCAGGAGCAGGAGCAGGAGCAGGAAGAAGTATCTCGTGATGACGTTGTGGTTTGAACAGGACAAGTTGCTGAAGGTGCTGCAAGAGGCTGGGCCCGTGCGGCAGGACGAGACTCTGACGGAGAAAGAGCGGAGAACGCTCAAGGAGAAAATAGCTGCAGCGTTCAAGGAGACAGATGTGGAGCTGAAAGCGGTAGGGGGAGGAAGAGGAGAGGAGGAGGGAGAGGAGGGAGAGAGAGGAGGGAGATAGGGAGGGAGGGAGGGGAGGCGGAGATGAGGAGGAGCAGTAGTAACAGAGGAGAGTAGGAGCAGGACGAAGGGAAGGGAGTAGTCCAGTAGGGGGGAAGTGGGGGAAGTGGAAGGAGGAGTGAGGGAAAGGGCCGGAGGAGGGGCAGGAAGGAGGAGGGGGAACGTCATGGTGCGGAAGCGAAAGTGATGGTTGTTCCTACAGGCGCTGGGAGAATTTGTTCGTCTGGATTTCGATGGATCAACAGCTGTGAGCTCCTCCTCCTCCTCCTCCTCCCCTTGCTCCCCATTCTCTCTCCTCCTCCTCCTCCTCCTCCTCCTCCTCCTCCTCCTCCTCCTCCTCCTCCTCCTCCTCCTCCTCCTCCTGCTTTTTCCTCTCCTCCCCCCCTCCTCCCACTGCTTGCTGACACGATCTCTCAGTGCGTCGTCATCCGTCGGGGCCGATCGCTCATCACGGCGTCGTTGGGCGACAGCTCGTCGGTGCTGGGAGGGAGGAGAGGAGAAGTCCTGAAGCTCTCCCGCGAGCACGTGCCCGCCGACGACGAGGAGAGGAGCAGGATCGAGCGAGCAGGAGGCATGGTAGCTGCGTTCCCGGACGAGCCTCCACCAGAGGTCAGGGAGGAGGAGGAGGGGGGGGAGGGGAGGGGGAGGAGAGGACAGAAAGGAGGAGGGCGAGGGTGAAACGAGGGGAGCGAACGAGACAAGTCGTCTTGGGAGTGAGGAGGAGGCAGTGGATGTAATTGGGAGGGGGGAAGGGGAGGGGAGGGGGAGGGGGAGGAGGAGGAGGAGGGAGGGGATACTGAGAGGAAGAGCAGGTGACGGGAAAGGGGCGAGTGTTCGTAGCAGGAGAGATGTATCCTGGACTCGCAGTCTCCCGCGCGTTCGGCGATCTGGTGGCAAAGACAGTAGGAGTGACAGCCGACGCGGAAGTCACGTTCACAGACGTTGAGGACAAGCATGCGGTGAGAGAGGAGGGAGGGAGGAAGAGGACGCAGGACGCAGGACGCAGCAGGCCTGAGAGAAGCGAATAGAGCAGAGCAGAGCAGAGCAGAGCAGAGCAGAGCAGAGCAGAGCAGAGCAGAGCAGAGCAGAGCAGAGCAGATTTCTTGTCTTCCCCTCCTCTCCTCCTCACGATCATCTCACGTGCTCTCAGGTTGTCATCATCGCGTCTGATGGCGTCTGGGATGTGACGACCAGCGAGGAGGCGGTGGCGATTTGTCTGTCCTACCTCGACAAGAAGGTACATCCTCCTCCTCCTCCTCCTCCTCCTCCTCCTCCTCCTCCTCCTCCTCCTCCTCCTCCTCCTCCTCCTCATCATC